CCCGTTTCTAGTTTAAAATGTATTTTAAGCGCGATTGAATTCCAGCCAATCAGAACAATCTATTTTAATTGCGCTTAAAATGTATTTTAAGCGCGATTGAATTCCAGCCAATCAGAACAGTGGTTTTTAATCACGCTTAAAATGTATTTTAAGCGCGATTGAATTCCAGCCAATCAGAACAGTGGTTTTTAATCGCGCTTAAAATCGATTTTAAGCGCGATTAAAAACCACTGTTCTGATTGGCTGGAATTCATTTTAAGCGCGATTGAAATAGGTAGGTTTTGGCGGTAATGGCTTTCCATAGTATATGGCACCCTACTGGCTAGGGCGCTCTCCTAATTATAAACACAGGTCTACTGATAAGAATTTATTACAGAAACCTATGCTGATATACCCCCTGACCATATTAAATGCATTTTCAGCACAAAATATAACTTCTCTGGTGAGATATTGCGCATGCGCTAAAACAGTAAGGTAGCCAGATTGTGTACTGACTGGTTTATGCAGCGGATACCTAATTACATGCAAGGTCTGCTTCCTATTTCATAAGTGAGGTCTACTGATGGAATATTATCATAGAAATCTTTGCTGGGATAACCCCTCTTCATTTTAAATTCATTATCTTGGCAAAATATTCTTCTTCTCGGGAGATATTGCGCATGCGCGAGCACCGTTTCAGACGTGCAGTACCTATAGGCCTACTGCCTAAATAAAAGTACGTAATATAGCTTGCTGAAGGAGAGAAGGGTGGGAGACGGAGGGAAGGTGGCAGGGAAGACAGCCGAGGGGCGGTGGAAGAAGAAGGAGGCTGAGCGTGCGACAAGGGAGACAAGGGGGAGGGCGGGCGGTGTTGAACTGATACTTAGGACAAATATGATAAATTATTGCACTTTTGGCACATTTCGGATGAAAAACTGATACACACGTACGATATATCGCGCGCAGAGAGAGTGATATCATATAGATTCAAGATTCAAGATTCAGGATTCAAGATTCAAATAATTTATTTGTGCATAAGACATATTTACGTTCAGTATACAACGATACATATTAGAATGAAAGGTCACAATACATAATGTGATAGATATAGCACTGGGGTGGCGAAAGACCCTCAGGTCATCAAAGTCTGCCACCCCTAAAAAACAAAAATATTAGTATATAAACAGGCAGCTGAATCATATGACTACGAGTTCAGTTAATAAAGCTATTAATTACGATAAGATCTATCTAGGTAGGCCTATACAAGAATCGACAAATATAACACCTCGTTGGTGTACGTAGGATGCAAGGTTCAAGTTGATTTTGATTTGAGTATTAAACGTATTTATACAGTGTGAATAAGATGAGAAAAAAATAAATAAATTATACTAAATAGTACATACTCATTATATGTACAGCACACGTTCATAAACATAGTTACAAAGTTCATAAATTAGAATGTACAGCATATAAACAACATCTAACAGACTTATACAATACTAGGTTATAATACTACAACTTCTACAATATTAAAGTACAGCAGACAATAAGTTCAAGGTATTTACATATATATAGTTGAAATAAGCTATTTCTAAGAAAAATATTAGAATTTTGGGAAGGGTAAACTTTTATATATACAGGAATGTGCAGGTATGACGCTCCAGAGTTTAACAACACGAACTTTAACAGATTTATTACAAGAACGCAGTTTTTATACCTTGGTAGGTGATATGACATTGATAAATTTATACAGTGTGATTCATTGTAAGATGAAAACAAATTAAAACGAAATAGTACATACACATTATAAGTACAGCACACGTTCATAAACATAGTTACAAAGTTCATAAATTAGAATTATAACAAATAATATAATTATACAATATTCTATGATGGCTAGGTGTGGTATAGTACTGTATAGTGAAAAACACCAGTGAGTGCTTTAAGTAACATCACGGACACAGAGAAAAGGGAATTAATTATTTTATTTGCTATGTTTTCGATATGTATGTTTTATATCCTTGTTTCATATTAATGTACTTATTATGAATTCGGGTTGGGTGAGATGGAAAGATTAATGAACCACCAGGGGCGCCAGCGTTTCGTTATTTTTCAACAAGAGAACAAGTGTATTGAAGTTGATGGTGGTACATAACTCTGGAGTCATCGTTAAACTTGGAGCTGCAAGGAAACATACACAATTGTCTCAATTAAAATGTTCTGCTAATGCCAAGTTAATAACATGTTTTAGACAATCTACTCCGGTTGGTAGCTAAGGACTCCGGTCATATATAAAGGAGTATTTGATATGGATTCCGAAGGTGTGAATTTGTCAGGCAACCCGTTCGCTCAACTGTTTCCTAGTTTAAGCGAAGCACAACACTTTAGTGTCAAAGCTACCTTACCATCACCAGATTCCAATAAAAGTGATGAAGGTATTTACATATTACCTATTCCTTAGTACTAATAATGTGTTACTTCAGTAAAACATTGGTTAGTGTGTTAATTGTTATATCATCATCATGCACACAACGTACGGTACGTAATAAACTGCACTCTTGTTGACTTGTTGATCTTGGGCAGTGGCTGTGTAACATTGGAATGTGCGTTGATGTCGAAATGATGTAGAAACAGATCCAAACTTGTGTGGTAAACTGTACAAACTTTAATAACTCATACACAGTGTCGTCGCATCGCACAAAGAGACAAAGAACGCCGCACACGCGCATACGCGCGTGTGCTCACTCTCGCGCCCAGCACCCCAATCCAGAATCCCCCATTCTATTCCAT